TGTGATGATATGAGCAGCCAGCCTTAAGAAATAAGGTGGAAGTTCATCTGGACCTGCAGATTTTTTAGGGTCAAGATCTTTTAACAGTTTATTGACCTCACTGACTGAGAATGGAGAAAAAGAGAAGCTGTGATTAACTGAGGATTGACTTGTAGTAGGGATTTGATTTGTAGAAGTTTGGTTATTAAGGGAAGTGGCTGATCTTCCATTAGTAACTGTGTCAAATAAAGAACCAGAAGCAACAAAATGTTTGTTGAGACAGTTCAGGATCTCGTGCTGATTTGACACAGGAACAGAGTTAACGAGAAGTTGTGATGGGAGGTCAGATGATTGGGGGGTGCCTGAGAGAGATTTGATGGTTTTCCAGAATCTGTTAGGGTCATTTAGATTTTTGGAGGTCTGAGATAAGAAATAGTTGTGTTTCTCTGCTTTGATGGAAGTTGTACATTTATTCCTCATCTGTTGAAAACTCAACCAATCAGTGTCTGAGCCAGATTTTCTCGCTGCGGCCCAAAGATGATCTCTCCTGTGCAGGAGGTCAGCTAGCTCTGGAGTAAACCAGGGGCTGTCTTGTCCTTTTAGTCTGAACTGACGAAAAGGAGCATGTTTGTTCACAAAATAAATTAAATTATTATGAAAATAGTTCCAAGCAGAGTTCACGTCATCAGTTAACAGAATACGATGCCAGTCAAAGTGAGACAGATCCCAGAGGAATGACTGTTCACAGAAATGTTTCAGATCCCTTTTTTGAATTAATCTGGGCTTAGAAGGTGGAAGTTTAATATCTCTCAAAGCAGCTGTCACACAATGATCACTCAAAAGATCAGCGAATACACCTGTACCTGTCATAGCTCTGCTCTCTGTCAGCTCCTCTGTCATGCTGCACACTCAGTAATCACTCAACTCATGTCACCTGTCACCGCTCATTATCCCACAGCTCCACCACCTGGTCCAGTCAGTACTTAAGCTCACTCATTCCTCTCAGTCTGGGCCAGATTCTCTATCCTGTCTCATCAGCAGTAGACTTTCCAGCATTCCATTGATTGACTCATCACGTTCATGACCCTTGCCTTGACCACGACCACGCTTTTGCCTCAGCCCTCGTCTGCTTTTGCTCATCTGATCAGGTACCGACTCATGCTCTTGTTTTTTGACTCTCTTTTTGGATCACGTACTGGATATTTCTGCTGAACAACTGACTTCACGGTATGAACTCTGCCTTTCCCTTCTGACTGTTTTTTGGATCACGGATTAAAGGTCAAGCTCATTCTGTATCACGGACTTATCCTTACCCCTGAATCTGATTCCCACAGATTCATTTCCCCAATTAGTCTCTTTCCCCCTGCATCTACTAACCTTTATCTTTTAGTTGCAAGCCTGTTGGACTCCGTTCCAGTGGACCTTAACATCAGTTCTACTTCTACTGGCAGCCCGCCACTACAACACTACCCAATCACGAACTACCAATCAGAAGATCGGAACCAGCCCAGAACCGGACCTACTCCAGAGTTTTACTTTATTTCACAATAAATCTTTTAACCCTCTCAGTGGTTGTTGTTGTTGTTGTTTGCGATCCGGCCTCTGGTTCATGACAGTACCAGGGAATTTGTGAGGCATATTAGTTAGAAACAGGTCTAAGATGGAGGAATTGTCAGGGTGGCTTTTATTTAATCTAGTGGGAGAATTGATAAATTGGGTAAGATTAAAAGACAAGCAACATTCCTTGAATTTATCACAGAGGGGGGTCGACTTACTCTAATCAATGTTGAGATCTCCAGCTAAAGGATCTCTTTGAATTTTAAATTACCAAGAAATTCCTTCATGGCATTTAATGCCTCAGGTGAAGCTGTGGGGGGGCGGTAGCAGCAGACTACAGTTAAAATCTGGCCTCCATTCAAGGTGATGTTTACAGATAAGGCTTCAAACTGGTTTGGAATTGTTTTAGAAGACACAAGACTAGAAACCAGAGAATCTCTAATGTAAATAATGACTCCACCCCCCCTTTTTTTGATGATCACAGCGGTAGATGTTAAATCCATTGATTGCCACGTCATTATTCAGTACAGATTTGTTGAGCCAGGATTTAGAAATAAAGATAACATCTGCCCCAGAAGAACTGATCAGGATTTTCACAGCATCAAGTTTTTTCAGAAGGCTACGAGCGTTTACATGCAGGAAATGAAGCCCAGAGGCGTTTTTAAAGTCAATTGGTGTGCTATAATTAGTGGGGGGTCCAGGGTTGGGCTGAATCCCTGAGAGCAATAACAACATTGTTATCAGACATTTTCTTGAGTTTTTTGTGACTGATGTGTAATTACAGGAGGTAACAGTGTGATAATTAGCCCCATAATCGAACCATGAGAAACATTAATGAAGACGTGATCATTCAGAACCCAAAAACAGTGAAAGTTGCAGTGATAGACAGATTCAGGTGTATTAACAAGATTCAGTGACTCCAGATAATCTAAGAACTGAAAATAGTGACAGTAATATGAATGATGCAGAAAAGTTTCAGACCATAAAACGTCACAGTTCAAATGGGCAAACAAACCCGACGAGGTGGCCCAACTGCAGTTTGAGTCGGGCTGAGGGGGGCTCCGGCCCCCCAGTGAAGAAGGATGGATGCTCCCATGAGAAACAGAAGCTGGGTCCAGAATCAACAGGCCGAAACAGAGACAGATAATTCGCAGCAAATAGCAGAGTGAGCTGCCAGAAAATCCTCCTGAAGTGAAAGACATGATCCTAGCTCGTTTCAGGTCAACAGGGGCCAACAGCGTGATCCGGAATAAAATTAATTATTATCCAGGTGAGTTTGGATGGAGGCCTGCAGCAGCTCCGATACAAACTCCGAACTTCTCTCGAGCACCACGCAGATCTTCTCCTTCACTCTGCTCCTCTGCTTCTCAGCACCCGACAGCACGAGGCACCCCCGGTGAAAAACGAGACTGACCGGAGAGGCTGAGGCTGAAGTCGGCAACTGGTCCGGTCCGGTTCTGCTCCAGTTCGGCTCCGGCGCTCCAAGCACGAGAGACGAAGAGGCTGAAGATATCCCTGGCCCAGTTCTGCTCCGGTCCGGCGGCGCTTCAAAGCACCGGAGCGTCTCCTCCAGGTGAACACAGCGATTCCACGGAGGTGGATCGTCCTTCGGTGAAAGTAACGGGCTGCTCACTGAAGCTGAGACCGGCTCTGTTGAAGACGAAATCCCCACAGCCACCTCTGTTCAGTTCTGGTCCAATTCGAGGGACACAGGTACACTTCCCCCACACCTATGGAGACACCACGAGGGCCAGTCCAGCAGATAACGAGCAAAATACCACCCGGCGATATTTGTCGGAACCAGGTAGAACCACAAAGGTCCAGATAAGAGTTCGTTGAGGTCCAGAGAGAAAGAGAAAAAACACCGGACCTTCGTGCGTCGACTCCCCAGCTCGAGGGGTCACCTGGCCGGCAGGGTGCGCTCAGAGTGACCGATGGGGGGGAGCGGCCGATCGGTCCTGGGCCAAAATAATTTTTTTTGGATGGTCCCGTCTGGCTCTCTGAGTCACTGAACACCGAATTCGGTTGGAAGGAGGACCAGCTTTTGTCCGGTTCGAAAAACGGGTCAGTTTGATGATAAAAGACTGCAGAGAAGCCGGAGGGAGCTGCTGTCCATCAGCTCGCCGGAAGTGTTTTAATACTGATGATTATGGCATACAGCTCATGAAAACCCAAAATGCCTGTCCCAAAAAAATCATCTACAGCTGAGTCATTATGATTCCAAACAACCTTGGTGTAAAGAATGTCAATAACTCATTTGTAAAATGTGGTTTTAAAATTGGTTTAGTAGCAGCTGAGACTACACCCCAACACATACTCTGAGTGCTAACATAGAGATAAATGTGAGTCCATCTGTCTGACAGCTCAAACTGGGTCATAATGCAACAGAACAATGGACCAAACCAGCACAACGGGTTCAGAAGAAACGAATCAAGGTCCCGCATTGGTCCAATCAAACCTCAATGAACTGAAGTAACACTGCAAAGAAGAGTGGGCTAAAATTCCTCAACCACAAGAGTTGTGCACATGTAGAGTAAAATTAGTCTTATCTGCAGAACCATTAAACAGACTTCCATAAATAAATAATAAATTAATAATAAACAATAAATTTATCACACTGCTTTTTGTCAGATGTAAAGGAGTTTTCTTTTTTAAATAAACATTTTCTTAAAATGGCGACCTGTTCAAATACAACCACAGCCTTAGATTGCACAATATTTTTTTATTACAAACTAATAAAACGGCCCTGTTTTAGTTTTGAAGTTTCCGCAACTCACCGGCAGGGGGCGCTGCAGGCTTGATAAATAAAAACCAGATGCATGTCACGTGACTTTTCAAGCTTCCTGTTTTTCGTTTGTTGATAAACTTCGACCATTGCATTATGTGAGCTGCTTTCCACATGAACTACGGCCTTGTTTGGAGTTACCTCTCCTTTATTCATCTGTTGTGATAAACGCTGTGTACAAGAAGACTTGAAGGAGGGACTGAGGAAACTTTAGCAGGCCTTGAAGGGTCCTGTAGAAGGGTCCAGACCTCAGAAGACGGGAGTCCAGAGTCAGCACATCAGGACTGTCAGAGCAGACCGCCTTTTTGTTCCGGAGGGACCGGCAGCAGTTCGCTTTTTTATTTTTGCCAGAAATACAACCAAAGAAAGGACGTGGTGAAACCAAAGGTCTTCCTATATCCGGGAAGCTGAACTAGCATTAAAGCTAACCGTGCTACACCGACAGCTAGCAGCAGAGCTAACCGTGCTACACCGACAGCTAGCAGCAGAGCTAACCGTGCTACACCGACAGCTAGCAGCAGAGCTAACCGTGCTACACCGACAGTTAGCAGCAGAGCTAACCGTGTCACACCGACAGCAGCAGAGCTAACCGTGCTACACCGACAGTTAGCAGCAGAGCTAACCGTGCTACACCGACAGCTAGCAGCAGAGCTA